CCCCCCCCCCCAAAGAATACTGTGCGAATGGAAACTAGAGTCTAATATTATACGTTTAAACGTGTATTTAGTACATACGTTTACAGATACATATATTAAAGTAACCGCGACTACACGTACTTTGGAAAACGTCCGTATCCGTTTACCGACTGGAAATTTTCGCAAAACGGGTCGAAGCTGGTGAAAGAAAAAACCGTGTTCGCAGTGAAGGAGCGGACGGAACGCGAGCAGCCGAAGTTCAAAGCGCCGCCGATCTCCGGCACGATCGAGGAGAGATGTCTGTCCGGCTTGGAGCACGTCACCCACGGCCTCGAGTGCCTTCAGTACTTCTCGACGGAGGACAACAGCGACGAGGAGCAGAAGAGGGCGGAGGAGCGCGAGAAGGAGAGACGCGAGTACGAGGAGACCCATCCGAACGTGGCGAAGCCGTTCCAGGCGATCCCGATGCCGTACGCGCCGCTGAACCGAGCGGACGTCACGGAGCCGGTGACGGAGAGTCCGGAGAGCTCTCACAGTCCCGCGCACAAGAAGAAGGCGAGGCAGAAGCGGAAGAAGAGCGAGAAGAGCGTGGTGGTGGAGGCGACGTGCGAGAACGCGCTGCTCTGCAAGCCCAACACGCAAACCTTGCCGACGTGGCAGGCGCCGAAGAAGAGCGACAACATCAGCTGGAACGCCCACCTGAAGACGCTTCTGTACGAGAAGGCGTCCTTGATATTCGCCGTGTTGGCCGAGAAGGAGTACGTGAACAAGAATTACGGCGCCTCGCTGAGGTACGTGTTGGAGGTGCTGTACTGCCAGAAGATACTGGAGATCTTCTGCGACGTGAGGAACAACAAGTCCATCAGCTACCTGCTGGGTCGCGCGGGAGACTGCTGCTTCATGGTCGTGCAGGACTGGGCCAACGTGGAGAAGCACCGGAAAGACTACGAGACGAAGAACGAGGCGGAGGAGAAGATGGTCGAGGAGCTGTACAGAATGGAGGACCTGGACATGAGTAAATGTCGATGTGTGCTCGCTCTTGTCACGATCGCAGGGTTGTGTGTGCCTTACCATTCCTCAAATCGAGAGTTGCACGATTTTAAGCCTTATTCATCATATGCATAAGGTCGAAAATTGCGTACGCAGCTCTAATGCAATGGTAAGGCATACAGTGTGTACGGTGCGATTGGCATGCATCTGAGTGTACGTATGTAAAAGTAATCGTTGCTGACGCGTATCTCGTATTGCAGACACTGCCGAATTGCTCCCGACAAGTCTGGACAGCCTGGAGTCCACCCTGATCTCCTCCCACAAGTGTTACAACAAGGCGTTGGCGTTGGAGCCGACGGACATGGACCGGAATAATCTTCTGAGGCGACTGGGGAACATTCACAACGAGCTCGGGGTCCTCTTCATGAATCAGGCGGGCGGTACTTTCCAGATGGGAGGTAATTCTCGCTCTGCTTCTCGTCGGGGAAGAAGGAAATAGCGGCGGAAGCTCGTTCGTTTGATCGAGAAACCTATTCCTTCGCAGCGCTGGGCCAGCACGAAAACCGAGCTGGCGATTCGCCAAGTTCCATGGACGTGACCACGCTTCTCACGTGTTCGCTGAACCACCTGGAGTCCGGCATCAAGGCCTTCGAGGCGGTCCACGACGAGGCGAATCTGGCACTGCTGCACTCGAACACGGGCCGGCTCATGCGTCTCTGTGCGCACATGCACGCCAAGCAGAACACCCAGGAGCGGCATTTCTACAGCAAGGCGCTCGCGAGTTACCAGAGGGCCCTGCAGGTCCTGGGCGACAGGAAGACGAACCCGCCCATTTGGGACACGGTAACGTGGGACCTGTCCACCACGTTGTACTCGAGGGCCACGATGTTGCAGGACTACCCCATTGCTGGGCAAAAGGTAACGATACGAGAGATCTCTCGGGCCGTTAATTATACACAAAACCTTTTAACCGACGATTACAAAGACAGGTAAATGAATGTAATTCGAGACGCACGCGTCATTAAATCTTATTTCGTCGGCTCTCTGTTAGCCTTACAGTCTCGTTTTTTCAACTATGCTTAATTATTTAAACGAAGAAAGAGGATAGACTGCAGGACTCGGATAGTAAATAATTAGGAAGGATGAAAGCATCCAGCAACGATTCTTGTTAGCTTTTTTCGTTCTCTCTTTATTGGTTAATTATATTTTATTGGTAACTTATAGCGAATTCAATCACCCGTGCTACACCGGATTAATGCATACTAAAGGCCGTTTTACACAGAGGCCTGTGTTCTGAACTCTCTTTTATCGATAAAAATGCCTTTAAAAGTGGCGTGGGAACCATCTGATTGGCTGAGAAGCCAATCATTTAAGGCACTTTTATCGGTAAAAATGAGTTCACAATATGGACCAAAGTATCCAAATATAATGGAGCTAACACAAGCACTTTAACGGAGGATGAATGTATATAATAATATATATTCCCAAATATATATTCTATCTAATTTGACATTTGTATATTCTGCTAAATGACGCGATGATATCATCATCAAATATTAAATCGTTCAAAATGCTTATTTACCTTTTCATTTAACATAAATTGCCCGTCATACGTAGTTACGGTTTTAATAACAAGAATAGGAGGAATAATTTTATGAACCATTATTTATAGAGATATTGAACGAAAATAATAAAAAGATCATTTGTACGTAATATATATTAATGTAGAAAAAAGGGCAAAAATTAACTTTATACATTTATTATAAAATGATCAGACTACATATATTTTTGGTGATATTTTGGGAAGCAATCCATGCATAATTGCGGTTGTTATATTAGTTTTTCAAGAGTATACTTACATCAGATAACACATGGAATATAATATACGTATGGAAGGGTAGAAATACCATTATTCTCTCATTGGTCATATGGTTTATTTCGTATTTCGGGCTGTGTACATACGCGCACTGCGACTTTGAGTCCCGTGGGTTTTGCGCTCGAAATTAGCTGAGCAGTCTAAATGTTAAATATAACCGCTTCATGTACAGCAGCCATCGGCATATGCACCAATCCCAGTGTTGTAGTGTGGCTGACCGGATTCGCTACTGATGAGACGCGATACTCACCATCGGTCACTGATGATTCCCAGCGCTCAACGTGTTCATCGGGTTTTCCCGGCGAGAAAGATCTTGTGGCCTAAATTAACGAATAAATTACGAACGTTCTCGTTACAGAGCGAGGAGGAGTTGGAAAGGGAGGTGGTCGATATGCTTCAGAAGGCGCTGAAGCATTGCGACGTGGACACGCCGGGGCCGCAGCAACCGGTCTACCAATTCCGAGCCGCGAACATCCAGCACCGGCTGGCTTCGTTGTACCACCGTGTATACCGGGAACTCGAGTCGGACGCGGACAACACGAAGAGGAAGACGAGCTTGCAGCTGTGCAAGCTGTATTACGACAAAGCGGCGAAGCTGTTGCTGTCGTTGGAGCAGACGAAGGAGTTCCTCACGCTGCAACTGGAGAGAGTCGCTCTGTCGGAGTATCAAGCGCGCAGTAAGTCGATTCCCTTTGGAAGAGCTGCAGAGAAAAAGACAATAATTCATTTGGAATTTTCTCTCACCTGTAGGGAGCGGATGAAAACTCGCTTGCATGCGTTTTCTCACTTCTGACGTCATTAATCGAGATGCGCTGCGGCGAGTAAACAGAAACCTTAGATCTAGATCCACAATAGGTGTGTGCTAAGCCTTTTGCTCTAAGCAATAAAATGTAACATAGTTTCTGACAAAAGGTTTCCCGATAACGCTTAAATTTGAGAAATTCCAACGGAAACGCCTTTTCTTAGAAATTATGTTAGCGCTCGGAGCAAAAGGCTTACCATGCCTTGATCGTGGATCCGATGCGGCTGAATGTTCACGCGAATGTTAGCAGAACGCTAATTTCTCGTCACACTGAGTTTTCATCTGGTCTGAAATTTAATTACAGAAGGTATTACAGAATTACTGAGGTTCTTTCTTTCCGTATATACCACTTCTCGAGACTCTTCGTCGTTGTCACGATAAGACACACTCGTGCGTTTCCAGATGGCACGACTTTCAACGGCAAACTGAAGGCTTACCAGAACGGCTTGGACTTGATCCTGCAATGCGTGCCGATAATGGAGATGCTCTGCGAACGGAGCAACGCGACAACGAAAGGCAAGTCTAAGGGGGCCGAGGAAGGTGACACGGAGGATGTCGCTGCGCGTGAAGAAGCGGCCGAGGAGCAGAAGCTGAAGGACGAGGAGGAGAACCTCGTCGTGCTGCTCGAGCAGAGGGTGCAGTTCATTTTACGGTCGTTAACCAAGTTGTTTCTCAGCAAAAGCCCCGGATGCAACAGGAAAGAGTACGTCGTTTTCTCGAGTCTATGCACGCGCGATCGTTCGCGAAACGGAGTCGAGCGGATTGAGCGTCGCATCACGAGTGGCTTCTCTCCGGTTTAACGTGTGTCCTTTTCGTGACGTTTCAGGAGCGAGACCCTCGGCAATCTGTATAGACAGTGTTACGCGCGTACCTTGCGAGCGGACGCGATGTCCGGATTCGCTTTAGTGAAGCACATGACGATTCTTCTACGAGAACTCAGCGGTACGTTGCCGCGGCCGGAGCCGACGACTTAATCGACGTGTCGGTTAGCAGCTCGCGTTCGCTTAACGGCAACGCAAGAAACTGTAATTATGTATGATACCGGAGCAGCTGCTCTTTGGACGATCGACGAAGCGATCTTCGATCTTCTAAAGTCGTGCAGTGACTGTATAAAGGAGAACGGAGGCGGTGTCGTTACCTTAGATAGCGATAAAATTCATGACGAAGGCCGACGACGCTTTTCAGTTAGAGAAATCCGCTGATGAAGGTCTGATCCGTTGTTAGATTTAATTCGGCCCGATTTGTTTGTATGTATAATTGCATGGTCAGACCTGAACCCGGCCCGGATCGCTTTGTTGACGAGAAACTGATCCGGGCCAGGCTCAGATCTGGCTCGGCCAGAACGGATATAAATCTGGCCAGATTTTGAGTCTTAGCGGAATGGCCGACTTATAATTTTAAAATTAGAAAATGCTTTACGTCCTAAATATTGGTCTGAATGATCAATTTTTTAATTTTTTTTTTTTTTAATTTACACAGTGGTTTGTCATCAATCACAAACAGTTTTTTGATTTAAGATTCCAGGCATAAGACAGTCATTGTGCGTTACCCAAGACAGAGACTTGAAGTTTCTGATTACTCGCTATGACCGACTTTGTTTGATAACGTCAGAAGCGAGAAAACGCATGCCAAGAATTCTCGCGTTATACGCTCAAATAAAAAGATACGTCCACAAAATTCGCGATCGATTCAGCGCGCTTATAAAATTGTCCCAACACTTTTCTTCCACTCGAGCTTCATTGAACGCGGGATATCACTACACATATGCGTAGCATCAAACAAGGACAATCACAGAGCGAGTAGTCAAAGAGCTTTAAGGCCCCTCGAGCCGACAAGTCGGCCATTCTGCCGAGGCCCTTACATTTAACAATGAATCGGGCGAGGTCAGGCCTCATTGGGGCTTCATTCGCGAGGCTCTGTTTACAGCACATCGCAGTGTGACTGTGCAGTGAGAAAGAGGAAACGATCGTTTTTAATCTGTCCTATGTAAATAAAATGTATATTTTTATTCCGAGAATAAAGAAATAGCTCGCCACGCAGAAACGTAGTTTCCAGGGGCAGTTTTTCCGACTTGCGGAATAGTCAACCGCGCCATTTTCCACGCGGGAAAATAATCATTACCTATCGAAATCTCTCAGGGAGGATGTCTCGCGTGTCCTCTCGGTGAACTACCGATTCCTCCTCGGCGCGTTCGTGATCGCGACTAATTAATCCCCAGATCTCGAGGCGGCTTCCACGAGAGGAACGGTGATGGTGCTGAGAGGGCGGTGCCTGCGTGTGTGTGGGCACGACGACGACATCTTGATTGAAATAAAGACCGGGTCGGAGGGTGAAGTTAAAGTCTAAATCTATCGCCAGGGTCGGAGTTCGGCGTTCTCCGTGTCTCCGGCCGCCGTCGGGAAGACGGATAACGGTGCGGGAGTTCGAATGAGGCTACGCGCGCCCGGTTTGTATATAAGTTTCTGATGTACACCAGAGCGGGCGAGTGTGAGCCGCCGCCCGGTCGACCGGAAACTCGATAAAAAACTCATTTATTAGAGAATTCGAGATGAACCGTTGTTGCGTGGNGGGGGGGGGGGGGGGGGGGGGGGGGTGAGCACGGCCGGAGTGGAAGATTAAAGGGGAAAGAGGGGGTGAGAGCTTGGTAAATCAGCGCTATTGAGGTCGACGGTGCGTGCAGCAGAAACGTTCTCGCGTCATCGGCTTTGCTATGATATCTGTTTCGTCAGGTAGTCTCCTGAGAAGAAGACACGCGAGAGAGAGAGGGATGCAAGAAAATACACGCCCGTGCTCCTTAATTTCGCGTGGTAAAAAGAATTTTCGCTACGAACGGTCTGCCCAAATTTTTGTGTTACTTCAACGAAAAGGTAGTTACGTAAAAAGGTGATAAACGTTAACAAAATGTTAATTTCGTATATATTTGTGCGCTTACTTTTCAATCGACGGTCCGATTTGCTCAGTGTATACCCATCTTTACCGGGATTTACCACATACACACGCGCATAAGTAACGTGAGGTTCGAAAATGGTACGAGTGTAACGAGTGTGATTGAGTAGAACGCGCAAGACGACGGAGAAAAAGGGGATAAGGAATGAAATGATCAATAATGATAATGATAGCAACGCGGTGAATAAAGCAAAATAAACGGTACACAGAGAAGCGGATATCTCGTTCCCGATTTTCCCTTTCCTTTTCTCCGAGAGCGCGTTTTCTTTGACACGCGACTGTAATGATGCTCTTGTTATCCCCCTTATCTGTAGGCGCGCGCGGGACGCAAAGGATTTTCCAACCGGCACTCGCATCGTAATATGTAATTCCATGCAAGATTCGTTCATTATCGGTGTGTTTCTTCCAATGTACGTCAACTATCCAATCGGACGCGCGTGTGATTGTACCGTTATTAATCTCCGTGGAGTAATCAGTGAATCAGAAAGCATGAGATACACGCTTCCAATACGCTCGCTACCAATGTCACATACGCGCGACACACTTCACTTTCACGAGAGATCAGTGTTCCTCGGGAAAAATCGAAAAAACGACTCTTCAAATCCCCCCCCCCCCTTTCTCCCATTCTTTCTTTTTTATAGCCGGAAACGATCGGCCGCGTGCCCTGGCGCATTCCCGCCGCGATCTTCCGCGTATCCGAGTAATATACTGCGTGCTGTTGCGGCCGATAGGCAAAGGCAATCGCACCGGTGTTCGCTTGATTAATTTTAACGAAGGTAGGAACCAATCCATCGCGTCGACGGCGGCGGCTGCGGCGATGTCGACCGGTCGAAGATCGATGAACTACGCGCGAGCGGATGGCCGAGCCGGCCCGCCGAGATATAACAATTCCAGCTGTCAGTCGCATCCCTCACGCTCGAATAGATTCAACCCCCTTGCTTTCCGGAAGAGAGACGGAGGGAAAAGAGAGATAGAGAGAGAGAGAGGGGGGGGGGNNNGAAAAGAGAGATAGAGAGAGAGAGGGGGGGGGGGGATAGAGAGCGTATGTCGAAGACAAAACAAAAGGGAAGCGTGGAAAAGGGTCGGGCCGATTCGCGCTGTCTCCTCCTTCCTGTTTTCATTCCCCCGATCCCGGTTTCCGTGTCCGAAACTCCGTGCGGCTTGGCCTGTTCGTTACGACGGCAGATCCAACGAGACACGGCTTAAGTGGTCTCTCAGGAGCACCGGACTACCGAATAGACTAACCTACCTCACCTGTTTCACCGTGTGAATTTATATTTATAGTTATTCGTTTCCTTTGTGTAAATTCGTAAACTCCTTAAACTGAGGATTTCTGCGAGTGGCTGTGTAACGCTCGAAATTCTTGAGCGACAAGTGCGCAGCAACTTTGCGAAATATCATCGAGATCGCTCGCGACACTGCGATCTCGGTATCGACATTGGGCGACGTTGCGGTTAAATATCTGCCAGGCGAAGACGCGCGACCCACCTTTAAATCCCGCACTTTTAACGGAACACACTCGACGTGGGGTGACAGGTGTCGCGAAAATGTGCGCCGGGGAAAGTTCGGATATATCGCGATTTATTAAAAAGATACACACCGGGCATGGGGAACGCGATCCGATATCATTCGGCCGACACCGCGTCATCGACTTTTCGCGACAGAACGCTGCCGATTGCCGTACTCGAAGGCGCCACGTCGCCGCCATGCATCCACTTGTGCTCGACCGTTTCTCCCCTTTCTTTTTTACTTTTGCAGCTAACCGTTAAACGCGAAGGGGAGAGGGGTTTTAAATTCCGAGTCAATTCGATCCCCGATAACATCGTCAGATTTTATTGGGCTCGATCTTAGTCTTTTTCTTAGCCAGGTTTCTTTTTCTCAAGGCTCTAACTATTTGCGAAGTGACCGATATTTCGTAATTCGCCCTTTTCAATAATAAATTAAACAAATATCACTTGAAGCGTCGCGAAAAAGTACTACATTCAAGTAATATTTACTCGATCCAAGTCAAACCTTGCCAAGGAGTATCGGAGTAATTATTTACCTGAATGTAGTACTTTTTCCCTTCCAGTGTATGATTTCACATTTTTCCCCGGAAATAAAACAAACTGATGATTTAATCAACAACTCGATGGTAGACCGAGGAACAAGCAAGTCGCGTACGAATATCCGGAGTGACAAACGGAAATACCACGCGGAGAGCTGCGGGAAACTGGAAGAATTACATCTGGCGCGAGAAAATGATGCGAGGGGGGGGGAAAATTGAAATTTTCAGCGAATCAGCCGTTTTCGTGCGTAACGAGATGGATAGGCGCCGGTGTTTATACGGTGAAATTGAGAGACACCGTTCAAGCCGACGATCCGTTTCCACCCTCGGAAAGATTACCTCCCCCTCTTTGCCCCTCTCGGAAGAGGGGGGAGAGAAGCCTCGAGGAGCATCACCAGCCGTACTCGCGGAATTCCGCGCGTGCGGCATTTTCTCATCGCGAATACCCTCCCCGTGCGCGTTGTCCCGCGCCCAGCTTCGCGCGCTCCCCCGAAACGTTATTTCGGGGCGGTTTCTCGTTTAATCTACGAGGCTCGCGAGATCCCGTCGGTCGGATCGAAACGCCGTGGAGTCCCCTCCCCCCCCCCTTCCTCACCTTCCCACGCCTCTCTCACTTTTTTTCCGTTAGCAACCGGTGGAGGTTTTCGCGGCGGTGTCGTGTTATCCGGGGTTAGCCCGGGGATGGATCCACATCCCCCCTTCCCCCCCATTTCTCCTCGACATCGCGTTCGTTATTTGTTCTATCTCGGGGGGGTCTGTCGAGGAGGTGGTGACTCCCCCTTTCCCGGAGTTCGCCGCAAATATTAATTCGCGAAGAAATTCGCCGCGAAGTGCCGCCGACACGCCTCCCCGTCCCTCGTTCTCCCGCGCCCGTCTCCGTGCGCTTATCCTTCCCCACCTTCGTCTAGGATTGAACGCACGCGATTTATGGTCCCGGTGCCTTATCTTCCGCACGCTTTCCTCTAAAACGCTGGACGCAGTGGGGCGCGAGGGTGCACCACGGGACCGGACACGACAACCCGCGCGGCGTTTATCCTCGCTGCGCCCTCCTCCGGCTTTTACTCAAGAAGGAAAATCCGGCGATTTCCCGTAAATATTATCTCGAAACGACGTCACGACCCATGGCTTCTCACTCGTAAATGAGCACAGAAATACTAGAGGCTGGGGAAATTTCGTTGGGTCGTCGATGGCAACGCTCGCTCGAAGAACGAATTATTTTGCAGGCTCGCAATCAGAAAGTAACCTGAAAAGTGGCAGAAAGTGGGGGGGATGACGCTGAACATTTTAAGATAGTTGTAGCATAAAATGAGTTTTCTAAGAATTCGTTGAAACTTGCGCTATATATAGATTCAAATAGGTCACAGGTCAAATAAGAGCTATAAGAGAGGGGGGGGGGGGAGAAAAAGGTCGTTGAGACCGACGGGCGGAATTGCCGGCGGACAAAGCGCGGAATTTCGCGGGGAGGCCGCGAGCGGACGTCGCAAATTCACGGGCTCGTTGTCGGCGGGCTTATCGGCTGGTATCAATTAAGCCGTTCGACGGTGCCGCTCTTTCCTTCGCGCTTCAAAGCCACCGACTCACATTCTTCGGTTCCCTCTCTCTCTCTCCCTCTCTTTCATTCATCGTCGCCGTCTTTCGCCGGACACGTTCGGGGTCCGCCCTTGGCTCGCGTCGTCGTCTCCGCTCGTCCTCTCGCAATCGCCTGGTTTCCGGGCGATTACTTTTCTTCCACACGAGACGGAATATTTTCGGCCGGCACGCGACCACCACCCCCCTCGTGATCTGCATTTTAGGGTGCGATTCCCGTCCTCCCGCCGGCCAGTCGATCGTCTCTCGTCCGGGAAAACGCAATGGCGACGATGCTCGGGAGACCGTGAAATATGGGGCTCAAACGTGGACCTTTTGTATTCGGCCTTTCTACTCGGCGGGTAGATAGGGTGGGTGGGGGTGGGTAGATCGCGAGATAGAGACAGAGGGTGAGAGAGAGTGTGTGTGTTTCACGCGGCGCGGGGCGAAGTTATTTTAAGGTACACCGCGGGACGTTAGAGCTATGAATAATACAGGTGTTGTTTCAATGTTGAGGCACGCGCACTTTTTGACTTATTTCACGGTCTGAAAGTGGAGCGCGCGGTCTTGCGCCGTTAAAAGCTGGTCGTTTGAATAAATAATAAA